AAACCAGAGTAGCATCAAACCATGTCTGATTGTCCACCTGGTTGCTTTGTGAACCCTAATATATTCCCTGAAATTAGTAATCTGTAAAGTTCCATGAAAGTCAATTGCAAACTCATGAAAATATGGGTTCCCAAATTTGCCACTTTCTACAAAGAAGTCATTGCTATGAAAAAACCGGTGAGTGTATGTTCCATCCCTTCACGAGTTTGCAATAGATTAGACTTCACTTTAGGAAGAGATTAATACTTGTAACTTTGACTGTGGCTGATCATTCCTTTGCTTTGCTTTACTTACAGTCTGAAGATTCAGATAATGAAAGTGTAGACTCACTGGATATTCTCAGGTAAGAGATGATTGCATGTACAAGTTGCAAATTCATTTTCTGTTGTCAGTGCTGTACTGATATAATGCTAACTAATAACCTGAGCTTGTTGCTTCATCAGGATGCCCAGAGCCCACCTCTCAGGACTATTGCTAGTGCTCTTATATATGATTTTAATATACTGTGAGTTTACTCCTGCACTACAGTAGGTTCTCCTAAACAGATTTCTGGTACTCATTCATGCCTGAAGGTAATTTTTTCATATTCTTAGCAAGACATGTTATTTCTTACACACTGTGTAAGATATGACGACATTTTTTGCTAAGAACATACAGAAATTACCTTGACCAGGGTATGATCTCAGCACTCATAATGTGTTATCCTGAGTTATAGAAGTATGCATAAATTTTCTTGCTTTTAATTGTTTCAATCTTTTTTGTGGTACAGAGAATCCCTGCGAGAGGAAAGAAGAGCACTGAGTGATGCCATAAGGGAGGCAGACAGAGCGTAAGCGCACTTTTTTGTTTTCATCTTCATGGGAAAAGAAGTGTTGTTGTACAGGGCTCTTACAGGTCACTCTAATTTTTAATGATAAACACTCTTGATTTGTTGGGAAAAAAGGCAATCTAAACTTTTTCTATGTAGTTCAAGACTTACGCTCAAGTGAATTTGAGGCTTAGCAAGAGGGAACCTAGCAATAAAGCCATACGTTTTGTTAAATGCCTTCTGGCACAGAATTCTCTATTCCATCCAACAACTTCTTAAAAGAAAATAACCCATTAACCCCTTAGAGTGGCTAGCATCTAATTTCTCCTCACAATATCCCTCCTGAATCACACAGTAATAATCCCCAACTAAAGGAGCTCTTGATTGTGAAAACAAATTTTCCTTGTCAGCACCTCAGGAAATGTATAGAGAACATGCATACTGATGTCAAGGTGTAAAGGGTCAAGATAAGATCTTCAAACAAAACTGACTTGAATCTTCTGTGAAGGGTGTTACTCTCCTTAGATGGCATGCAAATTCTCTAAGAGTTACCTCCCTCCTGTCCCAATCATTTATTGACAATTTTGTGTTACTTGTTTTTACTCCTGGTTGGAGAGGCTTTGTGGGAGGAGAGTTAGTTGCCAAAGATCGTGGTACAGGGAACCCAGCCAGGCCTATAACAGTAATATTGAGAGCCCTGCTTACCTTACCGTTTGGTTGTCGTCTCTCCAGCTTAGTGTTTGTGGTGCTGATAGCAATTTTTTTGGTTTATTTTCAGTGCATATTACAAATCCCTGGGAATCGAATTATGATGCAGTGGTCCTCATGAAGTATTTCGTGACACAGGTTTGTGCTTCCAAAAAAAATTTGTTTGCCCTAAGCTAGCGTGAGGGGAAAACTAAAATAAATGTGACGGAAATCGATTTTAAACTAAGGTAGTGGGAGTTACAAGTTTTTGGGAGTCGACTTTAGAGCGTAATGAGCTTTGATTTTTAAAGATAATAATAATGGTAATAAAATATTATAATAATATTAAACCTCAAAGTTGATTTTTCATTTCAGGTTTTTCTATGAAGAAAACCTTTTGGGGAAGTGTGTGCATAGCATCGGAGTTTGGCTGACAGTCTTTTTATAATTTATTGTACATTATAATATTCGTGAGATTTATCAAGAGTTTTATATCTTCAGTAATACTGCTATCATGATCAATGACTAACTCGGTTTACATTTTAGAATAAGCCTTGAAATCAGAGCACGCTTTAGGTTTTAACTTAAATATTCATTCTTGAATCGCAAATCTACAGTTTTATGTATTTATTTTGTCAGAGTATGTGGTTGGAATACGTGGTGTTGTTGATCTGAAGATGCATGATGTAATTAAAGATTTTAGGGTGGTTCGGAAATCAGACTTTCATTTATATCCTGTAACACATGCCAAATGGATGTTCTATATAAAAAGAGTTGTGTACATTAATAAAGCTATGCATGCAAATAAATGGATATGAATTTTTAAAAAAATACATATCTGATTGGATTTGGATTTGGATAAAACATGCCCACAATGTTACAAGATTAACACGTAAGTTCATGCCTTGTCAGAACTCAGGTAGGAGGGGAACACCCTTTGGTTTGAGGGTGGTTGAACAGTAGGCTTGGCAGGGGATGCAAAAACCTGAGGGCCATGTTTCGCTTGGAGGCGGGCATACCATGGAAAGGGGTTGATTCGATTCACTTATTGCGATACATCGAAGAAAACTCACTTGTTCGTTTTCTTGATGTATCGCAACTCGTAAATCAAAATCGTTCGTGCACACCTTCTATCGTTCCACCCCCGGCGCCCTGATAAGTCTTAAGTCCCATCTCTTCCTAGCCTTAACTTAAGCGTTTCACTGACTGAAACCTTGAGAAGCGCGAGCAGGTGAAAAGTCCTTGAGGGGCCTGGCACTGATAATCTGTGCCTGACCTCCGGGAAACCTCTCCCTGACTTGTCTCAAACCTTCCCGCGGGGGGAAACCGCGCGTCCTGCAGGGGCTTTTAGTGAGGACCTGCAGGCACGCCTCTTTGGTATCAGCAGTCAATTGACTAGGTCTAGTCGCGCTACAATGTTGTGAAGTGAATTTTGTTGGAATTACAGTCAACAAAGAATCCTAGGCTCGCAGTCACTAACACTGAAAGGCTGGGTGGAGTGAATATGCTGACGTCTACTCGTTCCCTTCTAAATTGTTAATTCTTTTTCTGTCTGTGAGGCCAGTGTTCATAAAGGAGTGGGAAATTTAATGTGAGAACCAAGGAGATATGGTACCTATACACCGACGTGCTCACTCAAATTCCCCCTACTCTCCTCCCCACTTTGTGCACCAGTCAGCCCCCCCTCCGCCGCAATCAGCTGATAAGGGAAGGAAGGGGATGGCAACGAAATGAAGTGGACTATTTCCCTGCGAGCAAACTCTCATTAACCCTTAAACTCTCAGAAGTGATCAACATGAAATGTCTCCCCATAATATCGTTACATTATCAAGCAAATAGGTGATGAGAATACTCAAACGTATCAGGTACCAAATTCTCATTACTTATTTACAAGAAAATGTGTAGCCGCTAGAGGGGCGAATTAACAATCAGATCTTGAGAGCTAAAGGGTTAATTAGCACTGCGACATAGGCAACGAAGCCGCTCTTTACGAGTTAGACCTCTTTTACGATCGAAACGCGAGTGGTTTACCGCTTGTGTCTGCTCTTTACGAGGTGTAAATGCATACCTTTTTGATGGTTTACTTTCGACAGACGAACAGATAACCAAAAAGCTCAAGAGTATTGTCGCGAAAAAATGACAGGATGTTGTCACTTTGGGTAATCAGCACAAGGATCTCAGAGTTGTTTTTTTTAAAGGTCTTACAGGGTTTAACTAACAAACTGTAACTGAAGTCAATCTAGACTGATCGTAAATGCTGTTTTAACTTTGTGGCTCAAAATTAAGAGAAAGGTTCCCGAAAGGCATTTTGAGTAGATTTTAAAGCACAGCTACATGCACGACCTCGTCGCTCACTTTGGATGCGTCTTTCTCGCATTATCCCCATATTTTGGGCGCGGTTTTCTCGTACTTTTCCTACACTAACCTTGCATTTTTCCTTCATTCAGTCGACACTTACACCCCACTTTTTTCGCACTTTTAACGCAGTCATATCCTAAAGCTGTATAGATGTGAGGTCCCTGTTACAAATAGTTTGAAAAACCTTGAATTCAGCAATCGTTTATTTTTTTAAAGAAAAAGAAACATCAAGAGACACGACTGAGGTAGAATGTATCTTTTATTTTAAATATAATCGAGGTTACTGCAATACACCTTGATCATGCCGCAGCCATTTTGATTCCAGTGAAAAGTTTTGTTCTTGCACGTCTTAGGTCATTTCACTGATAGGCTACATGCGCAGGAACAAAACTTTTCATCCACAGGGAAACACCACAGCTGCCAATAACGGCCCAAGCGTTTTGACTTGAGTAATAATTGTTCGAAGACTAAATGTATCGTCAAATCTTTAAAAAATCTTTTTTTTACAGCTTCCAGTCGAACCAAACAAGGTACTTCACTGCATATCTTGACTCGAG